AAAATAAAAAAAGCCTCAATTCATGATAAGCAGTTCGACAATAAAAGTTAAAGAGATGGATGTAGATGATGATATTGGAGGACCAAATGATGCTCCCAAACATTCAACAACACCAACAATATCAAAAATAACATTCACCATTGATGACATTTCATCCACAAAATGACCAAAAAGGTTCTAAGAGTTCCATGCACGGCGAGAAACTAGAAAGTTATTAAAAAAAAAACCACTATACCATTTTGATGGAACTCGAATCTAGTTCACTGAAGCACTAAGCAATAGGTGAAATACTATCAACTGAATGAACCAAATGTAGTTCTTAATTCTACAAGACTTCCGTCGGGTCATTCAAATTCTCCACATGTATTTTTTCAAAAATCTTAAAGATGTCAAAGCTTTACAATATAAGGAGTTTTTCCAAAGAAAATGTTGCTCATACAAAAAGTTGGTTCTTGATAGACACTTCCAAAAGATGTTGAAACTCTTTTATGTTATTAGAACCTCTCCAAGTCTTAAACAAGTTTTTCCTTTCTTCATTGCCTTATCCTATTCAAACAGTAGTTATAAAGGCTCTTTAGCAATAATGGAAGGAAATTTTTTCATTAACCCTTAGAGAAATATAGCAAAAAATCCACATTGCTTTTGAAAATATTTGTCACAGAAGAAAGTGATATAAGATTACCTTGCAGGAAATAAAGAATTGGACAAAGCTTGTGATAAACTTGAATGGTAGATAAAGTGCCCTAAAGCTCAAATTTGTGATTGTAGAACCAAAAAGAAGAAACATTTCAAAAAATTTAAGTTTTTTAGGAGATTTTCTCCCCGACAAAAGTACGGAACAAAGTGGAGATACTTGAAGAAAAAAAGACTAACCCGTAGAGCCAAAATAACCAAGTGTTTTATTTACAATCAACAAAGACACTTTGCCAAATAATGTCCTACCAATAAAAAGAAAAAAGAAAAAATGTTTCAAGAAATCCAATAGAAAATAAGAGTCGATCTAAAGAATAATGACATCAAGTTAATTTTCTCGATTGAAGAAGAACCCACAAACAAAACCCTATTTGCTCTTCAAACCTTCATCCTACATTCAAATGAAGAAATAGAACCAGAAGAATTCTACATGATTCAACATCAAGACAAATTCCTTCCCTAGTTAAAAATCCAAAAAATTCTTGAACGACTAGTACCCTTGATACTTGTTTCAGTCTACCTTTCAAAATATATCCAATCTATTCCAATAATAGCCTTTTTCGACATCGGAGTAGCACAAATAGTAATGAATCATCGGATACTTTCCCTAGAATTTTGGATACCCAATGAAATATACTTCAAAACTGCTTTAGAACAAATGTTCACTTCACATTTGATTAGTAAGCCTGTTACAATCTATTTTTTTCCCCAATGCTTTATCACCACCCAAGTTCTTAGGTCAGAACTACCTGGCAAAGATATAGTCATAGGTTTTAACATTTATTATCAATGCCAACATTTGGTGATTCTTCCTGAGAGGATAAGGTACAAATATTTTTTCAAACTTTTTATGAAAATTCATAGATTTTATTATTTCCAGCAACGATCAGATCAAAGCCAAATGATAGTTGATATGCTTAAAAAGAAAGCATATGCTAATTCTCACTCAAAGTTCCTTTTCAAATGCAACAATCCTTCATGGAAGAACTCAAAGTTCTTTATTAAGCTACCATTCAAGCTTAATGAAGATATTAATCCTACTAAGGCTAGTCATTTAGGAATGAACCCAGATCACCAAAAATTCGTTGAAGAAAAATGTGAACAATTATAGCACCAAAGGTTAATTAAGCCATCTAATTCTCAATGGGCATCCTCGGTTTTCTATGTTAACAAAAGAGCTGAACAAGTTAAAGGTAAATTGAGATTAGTCATCAACTATCAGCCTCTTAATCACTTCTTCCTTGAAGACAAATTTTCATTACCCAACAAAAACTCCATTTTCTCAAGTCTCGCCAATGCAAGTGTCTTCTTAAAATTTGATCTCAAGGCTAGTTCCTAGCAATTAGGTATATGTCTTAAAAAGAGGCCAAAAATAAGATTCTGTATACCCTACCATCACTACCAATGGACTATATTACTGTTTGGCTCAAAACAACTTTATCATTATTCCAAAAGATAATGGTAAAAATCTTTCATCCCATGATGGACTAAGCCCTCATTTATATAGATGATTTCCTTTTATTCAACCTAAATGAAGAAGCCCACATTCAACTACTTCAGCACATCATAAAATTGGTTTTAAAATATGAATCATGCTTTTGGAAAAGAAGATGCAATTATTCAAGTTAGAGATTGACTTCATTGGAATACATATTAACCAAGGAAAATACCAACTAAACCTTTACATTACTTAAAAACTGATCAAATTTCAGACTAAGACTTTACAAAGAAGCAAGTTCAACAGTTCCTTGAAATTGTTAACTATTTAAGAAATTTTGTTCTAAATCTTTCGAAATACACTAACACTCAAGGAAAATGCTGAAGAAAAACTCTCCAAAATAGGGAATCTCCCAAACCAAGGCCATCCAAGACTTAAAGTAAGCAACAGAATTTGAAACCTCTCCAAATTCTTTCCGATGGTAAAAAAATCCTCTAAACTGATGTCAGTGATAAGTATTGGAGAGTAGTACTTCTTAAAGAAAAGGAAGAAAAATGATAGATATGTGCATACAAAAGTGAAAAATTTTCAAATTCTAAAACGCACTATTATTCCACCTTTAAAGAAATCTTGGCAGTTGAAAAGGTGATCTCTAAATTCGAGTTCTATTTAATTGGACACCATTTTTTGGTTGAAATTGATATGTCTTCATTTCCACAGATGCTCAAGTTCAAACAGAAGGCAATTTCGCATCTTCAGCTGCTAAGATAGGTAGAATAGCTCTCTATGTACTCTTTTGATATCAAACAAATCAAAGCAAAGAAAAATAAACTTGCAGATTTCCTGTCTAGACTAACCCAAGAGCCTAAAATCCTAATGTTCAAGCCAAAACCTTCTAAGTTTACACCTAAACTAAGCATTTATATCATCGAGTCATTCTCATCTCCTCATCCTCTACCCTAGTGGCACCAAACCTCTATCTTAATTACCCTCATGAAGTACTTAAACTAAGACGAGAAGGAACATTCCACCAAAAGACTAAACAGTTAATTTTTGAATACCATATTGAAGTCTTTCGAAAGTATGGTGGTCTTATCCTCAAACCTTATTGTCTTCATCCAAAATATCCCTTTATCCATCCTTTTTACTATGTATTCATGGAGTTTCTAAAGGAATTAAAATGGATGTTTTGGTACTTGACCCATAAGTATCACATTGGTATCCAACTCCACATTATGAATTTTTCAAAAATCACAAAAAAAGCAATTAAAGGAGAAATAAAATCACGAAGAAAGAACTTTGTAAATTGCCTCACATGGTTTTATCTACTCTCACACTGGAAGGAAGTAGTCACAGTAATAGCAAGAAAAAGGAAAAAGGTTGTCATATTTATCCTCTACAAGCCTCAATATTTTGTTACATATGGAAAAACCACCTAGCTTGGCGTAATCCCCTCTACATGGGCATATAGATCATCCTATTGCAATATCAGGGAACTTGATCAAGAATACAAAACATTTCAATGACATATCTGCCAACATAGAAGGACTATTCTAAATCATATCTAACCTTCATTGGAAATAGAAATGTCTTAGGATTACTTCTCCGAGACACCTGAACCATATCATTATCAACTATAAGCAACATTAAAAGAATACAATGAAAGAATCCTTGATCCTCATGAATGGTCTTAAAAACCTTGGGAATATGGAAAGATAAATGAAGATAAGCTTGCACAACTCTTTATAAAGCTACCATGTGAAACAGGTAAAAGACACAGTGATACAAACCCCGAGGCATTCTCTCTGCACATATACATATGCAAGGAAAGAAAACAGTTGAAGATTGTAGAACTCAATCTCACTTTGGACCCTGACACAAACTATGACTAAAGAAGGCCAACAAATTTCTTTCATTAAACAAGCTTGTACTAACTTGTCTTTTACTTTAAGTATGCCAGATAAGAGTGTTAGTTTTATCACTAAGTTCAGTGTATTGTGTAAAACATGTATCTTTATCTTATTCACTGTAAAAGGTTTGTTGTTTCTTATTGCTTTGTTTATAAAAAGAGATGACCTCTTATATTGAAGGGTAAAACACCCTAGAGTAATAAAAATCAAGTGTTTCTTCCAACATGACTTTTTAAACCCTTCTCTCTTCCTATTAATTATCCATGAAAATGTAAGTATAGATCTCTTGTGAGTTCAGATCTTTGAGTATGCTCTACACTTATCATTTTTAATAGACCCTATGTATTAGAAAAAGATTTGATCTCAAAGACGTCTAAATATCAGTATTGACAAGATTGAGCAGGGAAGATGAATTGCTAAGAATATTAAAATTATATCCTTGTAACGAAAAGGCTCATGCCACCCCAGAAAGCTAAGAGAGTCGTATTTTGTAGCCAATGCATACCTATTACCAAAATTACTTTTTTATTTTGATCCATTTTTTGGTTTCTTTCGCAACACTTACCTTATTGGTATAAGAAACGTAATAAATTAGGGAAGGAAAAAGGAAGATTTGGTTTGGCATTTTGCTAACCTTATCCAAACATTTAATAATGTTTATAACAAAGCATAGAGAGATTCCCATTCCACACATAAAAAACAATAAAAACAAAAGGTTGAATTATTTATTAGAATTCTGGTTGTATTTTTGCTAAAAGGAAAGCAATTTCCCTGTTTGTGTGTTGCCGAGAAATTGAAGATATATTAACGTTAATGGTAAATGAAAAGAAAACTGAAGGTCTAGAAAGCAAAGCAAAAAAGAAGGTTTTAGGGAAAAAAAAAATTGATGGAGGGGCACCAATGCAGACAGGGTAGGCCCCAACTCATCACTACAAACACCATCACCACCACCACCATTGCCCAACGCCCACACCTTCCCAACCTAACCTTTCCTTTTCTCCCTCCTCCTTGTCTTCTTTTTCTCTTATTACTACTATCATTTCCAGTTTCCCAATACACACCAAACGTTTGCTTCACACCCTCCTAAAATCTCCTTGTTCTTTTTCTTTTCTTTTTCCCATTCGTCTCTGCCTACAAAGTAGCAACCTTTGCTTGTAATTAATCTCTTCTGTTCTTGACTATAAAGTTTGAAACTTTGGTCCAAGCCAAGGGGTTTAATTTTCAATGCAAGGAGGTGTTGTTGTTCGTGGTGGTGGCGGTGGTGGTTCTGAAAGTGGGTCAATGTCTACAGTCTCAAGGGAGGACAACATGGTGGTGTCCTCCGAGGATTCTTCATGCCCAGATGAGTCTGAGTTGGAGCTGGGTCTTGGCTTGAGCCTTGGTGGTGGTTTTAAGATACACCAAGTTTCGAGGGGTGGTCAATATGCTAGGATTTTGACTGCTAAGGATTTCCCTTCTGTGGTTTCTGCTGATGCTTCTTCATCTCCTTCTCCATCATCTTCGTCATCTTCTTCTTCTTCTTGTTTAAGTAGAGCTAATGTCACTGCTGGGACCAAGAGGTCTGCTGATTCTGTGGCTGCTGCTAATGGCTCTAGGTATGCTCTAATTTAAGCCTGATTTGTGATTCCATGTAATTGCGTTTTTTGGTCCCTGCCATGAGTTTTATGTCCTGATTGTGCTTCTTCTTTTTTTTTTTGAATTTTATCTGCTTTCTGTAATTCTGTTATAATACTTGGTTACCTTCATAAGATATGTTAGAATCGATTACAAAACTTTGGTACAATAAACACCCAACTGCCAAATTCACAAGATCAGGAGAAAGAGATTTAAGGAAGAAAAGCAAACTAGAATCCTCCAATTAGGCTTGAAAGAAAATATAGCAGGATGTACTTATGTTTACAATTACAAAGATATTGCTTGCATGATTAATCATTCAGAAAGGGATTGGCAACGGAGACAACTTTATATTTAGGTTGTTGATGATGAGGTATGTATTAGGGATGCTTCCACTCTTATTACAATGGGTCATGCTGGCGGGAAACAAACTATTTAGTGCTTCTGCTTATTTTGAAGATGTAAATGATGATAGATCAAATGGTCCTGATCTTCAATAACCAATTCAATATATATTCCTGTTTGCTTGCTAATTTTAATAATTATCTTTGAATCAGATGATTGGTTATCTTTCTTTGTCACTCTATCTGTTAACTATGTAAAGCAGTAAATAGGAGATCGTCCTAGTATTATGTAATTCATCAAACTCCAAAGCTCCCAACCAAAAAAGGATAATTCTTTAGGCTGAAAAAGTGACATGATTCCATACACCAGTGTATACGGAAACCTATGCTTGTGGTGCCTTATTAATTAGGCTCCATCTGAGTCAAGGCACAAATCTATGCAATCAAGACAGTTTTGATGTGCACAAGTATTCTTTTGGAATAACTTTTCTGGTATTTCCATAAGTAGCTGATATCCTTTCTTTCTGTTAACATAATTTTGAGTTGCTGTGGCTGGGTGTTAATTACTTATTGGCAGCTTTTGAACCTTATCTTTGCTGTTTTTGCCCCTGTTAACATCTGTGTTTTGATCTTGAGTTTGAAGCAGTCAAGTCGTGGGGTGGCCTCCTATCAGAGCTTATAGAATGAATAGCATGGTTAACCAAGCAAAAGCACCGGCCACTGAAGGATTTAACTTAACAATGGAGAACCATAAAAATGAGACCTCTATGGTTGAGAAGAGCACCATTGGCAGCTACCAGAACAGTGGTAATGCTAAACTCAGGAAATCCCTGTTTGTGAAGGTGAATATGGATGGAATTCCAATTGGAAGGAAGGTTGATCTGAATGCCCATGAATCCTATGAGAAATTGGCAAAAACCTTGGAAGAGATGTTTCTCAAAGACACCACAAGTGTCAATCCAGTAGGTGAGGTTTCCTAATTTGTTTTGTTTTGATTTTCAAAAGATGAGTTAAGTGCCCATTTAATTACTGATCATAGGGATATCTTAAGCTATATGATCACCATGTCTTACCTGATGTGTGAATTTAACCAAAATGATTGTTTATGCTTAAGACTTTTACTACATATGCAAAATCAGAATGTGAACATGAGTTGTCATGCAAGAAAATTTGCCTAGCATCCTACGTTTTTTTTCAAGCTTTGTGTCAAAATAGGAAACATTAGACTGGAAACTTTAGACCTTTTTAAGTAAAGAAATGTTAAACCAATAGAATTATAGGAGGAGCTGAGATTGAAAGCCTTTGAAATTCCACTGTAAAGAAGGTCCTGATTCAAACAAGGTAAAAGACAACATGTTTCTCTTTGATGATCATCAAAGCTTGTTTCTCTTCTACTAATCTTGTCATGATTTTTGTGATTAGGATCAAGGGTGTGGGTGGATGAAGTGGCAAGACCTTCAAAACTGCTGGATGGATCATCTGATTTTGTGCTTACTTACGAGGACAGGGAAGGAGACTGGATGCTTGTTGGAGATGTTCCTTGGGAGTACGTATAATTTCACTTATACATTTCACTTTACATTTTAATTTTTTTCTAAGGTCTCAGTATCTCACATGACGTTTCTAAAATGAACTTCTGAAGTTAAAGGAAAAGCTTAACATCTTTATTGCATGTGCCTTTCCCCTACTGCCCTTGAAGTTAATATATTCCCTTGAAGAATTGATTGCATAGATCTCGGCTGTCATCTTGTCTGGCTTCTAAGGGAGGACATCAGTTAGGGGACACCATAATATAATGCTATGTATGGACAACTTGACATGCGCGCTAGTGTGTGTGTGTATGTTTTAAATATACACAGAAGGGGGTTGATGTAGAACTTTATGACAATAAGGTGAACAACTTGAAGAGGTTAAAGCTAAGCTTATTCGTGGAGTAGGAAAGAACTAGATGTGAAGATGTATGATAGATTATAGTTGTCTTCTTTTGACACTTATTATGAATGTTCTCTGATTTGATTCAGGCTGTTCCTTAGTTCTGTGAAGAGGCTTAGAATCATGAGGACATCTGAGGCAACTGGACTGGGTACGCATATTCATATTCCCGTCTGATTCTTGTTTAAATTGCTTTTTTCATTCATATCTTAGGTTACTTCAATTCATAATTTACAGCTCCAAGGTTACAAGAAAGGAACCAGAGACAAAGAAGCAAGCCCATCTAGAATATTTTTCTCTCAAGCCCACCATAAGATGAAAAGGGCAGGCTAGCAGCATACAAAGCAAAAAAGAAATACAGAATAGTTAAAGCACTTTGACTGAGTAAAGTTTGATCCTTTGTGGCTCTCTGTTTGTTTCCATTTGCTGTTATTTTCTCACATGTTTTCTACTTTTCTTAAATCTCGATTACAGTTCCGGGGAATAGTCACCACACATTTTGAAAGGCACCAATATCTTAGTTTTTAATGTAATATATACAAAATACCTAGTAATTGCTATATATATATATATATATATATTTTGTTGCTGTAAATAACGGAGCTTTACTGTATTTTTTTATTTTTGGGACCTCAGAATGAGAGTGCTTTCCTTATCAATGGCAAAGTTTATTGTCTGTGTCTTGAAACTTCTGCTCTTATAATTTTCTGCTGGTATATTCTTCTTTTTGCCAAACTGAAATCTCATCCATTGCACATAGCAGAAGAAGTGTGCTAATTGGGAGCATGATTGAGATGTATATCAATACAGCCATCAGGTCATCTTAGCTTATGGTTTGTATGTCATGGTGGCTCATCTATATCAAGTGGTTTCTGAAGGGGTTTTGAAGACAATCTCAAAAAACTCTGTGGAATAAGTCAATTTTAACCAGAATTGGCCATTGTGTCATCTTTAGGTTCTTCTTAAAGAAGTATACTAGCAGCAGGAAAATTGAAACTTAGGCTTGCAGAGAATTTCTAATAGCAAAAGAAGAGGAGAGGTTTCCAAGAATTGATCTGTAGATCTGTACTATTACCAAAAAAAAAAAACATTTGACAATGAGAAGTAACAATTTCAGGTACAAGGGATTTATCTGCTTGCCTGACTCCCCCATGGAACTTTATTTGCAGGAGAAATCCAGTTGATGTACCCGTTAATTTTGTGGACAGCCATATGATTCAGTGATTACAAGCATTAACAAAAACAATGCTACATACAAACAAGTATTTCTAATTTTGACAAAATAAGGGGGTCGGAGAGAGAACGCTTCTGTTTTTCCTACACGAGGCCATTTACAGGTGATGTGCTGAAGACCGGCACTGGCTTCTCTTTGCTAGACGCATTACCGTCATTGTTGCTAATGCTTTTTCTCCGAGGCTTTGCCTCACCAAGCATCGTAATCACATCCCTCATGGATGGTCTGTCCCTGGGGAGCTTGGCAGTGCAAAGAAGTGCTATCCTAACAACTAACAGCATCTCTTCTTGAATATGCTTACAGTTTCCTAAATTGAGATCTAATACCTCTTCTATAGCTTTGTTGTCTCCAACCTTTCTCCTAGTCCATTCCACAATGTCTACAGATTCTCCAAACTCGGGATCTAAAGGCCGCTTTCCAGTTAAAAGTTCCAGTAAAACCACTCCAAAGCTGTATATGTCAATCTTTTCATCAACCTTCAAGGTGTAACCATACTCTGTCATACAGTCATTAACAAATAAAATGAGCCACAATTTATAAATTAGCATTATCATATTAAACAGAATCAAATCTATAGAAGTGAGATGTTAATTGTAACTTACCAGGAGCTATGTACCCGTAAGACCCTGCCACCATTGAGACTGTTTCATTCTTTCTGACCATCATCCTTGCCAAACCAAAATCAGCAATTCTTGCCTCAAGATTTGCATCAAGCAGTATGTTATTCGACTTGATGTCTCGATGTATGACAGGTGGATGACAATCATGGTGGAGATAAGCAAGCCCTTGTGCAACTCCGAGTGCTATGTTATACCGTGAAACCCAATCTACCAGCAACCTACCTGCTTGTTTGCCATGCAAGGCTTCTCCTAAGCTACCATTTTGCATGAACTCATATACTATCATCATGCTAGTATCATTATGAAGAAATCCTAATAACCGAACTATATTTCTATGCCTTACCTTCCCTAGGAGATTCACCTCTCCAACAAAATCTCCACTGTTTCCTGTTTCAATATCAGTTGCTGATCTCCACAACTTTTTAACAGCCACAACTGCATTTGATTGTGGCATCTCAGCCTTGTACACAACCCCAGTGGCTCCCATTCCAACCACGTTTGACTCTCTAATACAGGCTAGGATGTCAGCAGCTGTGAAACCAAGTCTCTGGAATGCCATTAATCTCCATGGCCATTCTCCACTGCCCGCTTCTAACCTTTCCTCGAAGCAACTGCCACTTGAATACCATTTTTTATATAGCAACCGCCCACCGATGAGTAAGATTCCAGCTGCTAAAACTGATGACATCCCAATGAGCCATTCAGCAACAAAATGCTTTGTGCGCAAGCTTCTCTGCCTTGATGAAGTTGGTGAATATCGGTTACATGGGGGGAGAACAGCACCACAGAGACCAGCATTGCCCGCGAGGTCATCTGTGTTGATTGTTCTTAGCACACCATTCGCAGGAACTGGACCCTCTAGTTTGTTGTATGAAACATTGAGCATTTCTAAAGCTGGAGAAGTTCCAAAATTATCAGGTATCCCACCTGTTAGAGAGTTGTTAGACAAATCAAGAACAGCCAAAGTGGGCATCATGGCAATTGATCTCGGAATATCTCCAGTCAATTGGTTATTCCTCAGATTCAATGTAACTAATTTCGCACACGAAGCAATGCTCGCTGGAATACTTCCTGTAAAATGGTTTGTTGAGAGATCAAGCACAGAAAGTGAAGGGCAATCCTGAAATTGATCTGGGATTTCACCAATCAAGTTATTGTTTGAAGCAATAAATGTTTGCAGACTTGGGATGGAAAGAATGGTAGACGGAAGAGAAGATCGGAGGTGATTACTAGAAAGATCAATAAAGGAAAGTGATGTAGAAGAAGCAATATCATTCGGGATTTCCCCAGTGAGACTGTTATTTGCCAATTCTAGCCTCTGAAGCTTCCCAAGTTTGCCTAGTCCAACTGGAATTGTTCCGGAAAGCATATTATTCTGCATTCTAACTCGAACAAGTGAGAGACAAGTTGATAAGCTGACTGGCACTGGACCTGAGAAAGAATTGTTGAATAGAATGAGCTTGGTGAGATTGCCCCCATTGCACAAGGTTGCGGGGATTTCACCAGAGAAGGAATTGGACGATATGTCCAACCACTGAAATGGCGAATTCTTGCCAAGATCAATCGGCAGCGGGCCTGACAAGAAATTGTTCCACAGCTCAAGCACCTCCAATTGTGTCAAACCTCCGAGTCCCGCAGGGACTGAGCCTGATAATTGATTGCGCATTAGATTCAAGAGTTGTAAGTTCTTCAGCTCGGCAATCTCAGCAGGAATCTCTCCAGATAAATCGTTATCAGACAAATCCAGCAGCTGCAACGAAGTAATGTTGCCAATTGATGGTGGAATCTTGCCTTTAAAATTGTTCTTGTACAAGAAAACTGTTTCTAGTAACTTGAGCCTCCCTAGTTCAGCTGGAATCTCGCCACTAAGATTGCCTACTGCCAAATCAAGGTACTTTAGACTGGAGAGGTTACCAAACTCAACCGGTATTCCACCTTCAAATTCATTGTACCCCAGAATTACAGTCTCCAGCGATGAAAGCTGCCCCAGCTCTCCTGGTATCTGACCAGTTAGATTATTTCCAGAAAGGCCTAGAAATTTTAACCTCCGCAAGTTCTTGAACGATTTTGGAACTGAACCCTGGAAGAAACTTCCTCTCAGGTCTAGAGTATCCAATGAAGTTGCATTGCCAAGATCCTCAGGGAGAACTCCTGCGAAATTGTTGCTAGAAGCATTCAGCAAAGTTAGTCCTGAAGCTCTTCCAAAACCCACGGGAAAGCTGCCAGTGAAGAAATTCTGGCTCACATCAATGCTGTTGAGTGATGTGAGATTGGATAGGGATTTTGGCAAGGCAGAAGACAGATCGTTGCAGCACAAGTTGAGAGAAGTAAGGCTTTTCAGCTGTTGGATATCATCTGAAACTCGTCCACTGAGATTCATATGGGAGAGATCAAGCTTTTCAACTGCCCCATCAGAATTGCACCATACTCCAGTCCAGTTACAGTGAGCCGAATACTTGAGAGCCAAGTTGTCTGGCAATTTCCAATCCTGAAGGCTATTCAATGGATGAAGAAGACTAGCCTTTATGGATAATAAAGCCCATACTTCCTGATTCAAGTTGGTTTTTTCAACCACCTTGGCAAGACCAAAAGAACAAGAACCGATGCAGTAGCAGAAGAACAGCAACAAGAAATGGATTTTCAACTGCATATTGTTCTTCTTAACGGCCATCAGTCTCTTAGTACTCCACCATTTCCACGTTCAGGAACTACTAGGGAGAAGTCGGGCAAAGTGGGGTGATTAGTGTGGAAGCAAACTTGTGCATATGTGTTGAATTTTGAGGAGGAGCGGTGGGGAAAGAAGACTGATTGACGTAAAAGTGTTGGTATATAAATATTAAAGAAATGGCAATTAGTTTAATTTAGGGAGAGCTCGTGAGATCTTGGGTTCTGCGACAGCTGTTAATCAGCTAGTACTGACGCGGAAGCTTTTGGAGTTTTTGGAAGTTTCTCCGACATGAAACATGGGGAAAGAATGTGTTTCTTTCTTCTATTTCTTGTATTTGATAGTCAACTTAAGCAAGTAATGATTGATATTGTCATCTCATATTCTTATCTGTGATGAAAATTACAGCTGAGTGCAATATTCTACTGTTAAAGACAGCATTATTTCAATGCATTCTTGGTAAAACCCCATATCTCTCTGCTCATTTGGAGAATTTTAGCATTTATTAATTGATCAAAATCCAAGTAAGACCCACTAAAATTTAGTTACTGTTTTCAAGGTTGTGGCAAGAATATGCACCAATCCAGAGGGGCAGTTGGGATTTGCATCTATTCTTCCCCTTAGCAAAGAGCCCAAAAAGCCTTTTACCTGGTAAACCTAGTGTCAAAAGCTACTTTCAGTAGCCTTAATAAATGAAAAGCTGCTGCATATGCTCAAATCATTTCGGGTTCAAGCCTCTACTTTGGCACAGATGAAGAGAAGGGATAGGGTAACTTGTAAGTACGACAAGGATTTGGGAATCATGATACTGATGTACATGTGACTCCTCCCAGCATCAAGCCAAAATGATAGTGGGAATTCGAATCCCATTATTTTAATACGTAACACACAACCCTCACTCTTGTGTTATTAAGATCTAATAAATCCAAACAAAAACTCAATTGTGGTAAACCTCCATTTGATCTAACAATCCACATTGTTTTTGGGTTTATTTTAAAGACACACAGATCAGCCCCCATCATGTCCTAATAAATTAAACAGTGTGAGCAGGTTAGTTATTGGTTATGATTGAATACCATGGAATCTTTCCATGTTATGGGCTAAGTAAACAGAGAAACAAAGACAATAGCCAAGTTTTTGTTGTTGCCCTTTTTTCTCTTCTTTCAGTACCAAATGTTCTTATAGGCATTGGAAATGAAAAATCAAGTTTACCCTTCTGGCCAAATGATCATAACCTCAAGTTAAAAGTGTTTACGCAACTCCAAATTGTAGATTTAATCCTTGATTAAAGACCACCTTCTTGATCAATGTATATCTTAAAAGGTACTAAACAAAAAACTTCATTACCTGGTTGGGGTATCCTAAGTATAAGAGGATTAAAAACTTATAAAGAGTAACGGGAAAAGCTTTTGCATGTAGACAGGTTTGTCCTTTTAGAAAGAGGAAGCTCCCAATTGCATTATTAACAAATACCGAAAGACATTATAAGCAGGGAAAAAAAAAAAAAAAAAAGGAAGCAAAAGAAAATGGAAGTGTTTGCACATACCATCAATCATGGTCTGAGAGCAGTCCACCAACCGCCATTTCTTCTTTAGAAAAAAACCATTAAACTATGAATAAAAGGAACAGATCCCCACATGCCCACATGTGGGCTGAAACAGTGCAGTTGTTTTTCTTTTATTTTTTTTCCTATTGGGTGATTGCTAAAGTGGATGGATGCCATGTGAACCAGAAGGCAGCAGCAGCGGCTTCCTAGGGAGAAGTACTTCCTTCCTTCCTTCCTTCCTTTCCTATTATTAGAGAGAGAATTGGGATTATGAACAAATATGGATATAATATAGTTCAATTTGATTAGTATGTTGCATCTGAGGGAATTTATGAGGAAATGAAGGCTGACGTGCTACCCACATGGTTTCATGCCCTGAACCTACACCTGAATCAGCCTTTCACAGATGGAATTAGATCGGAGAGAAAGAGAGAAAAGCATGTCTCAGAACCATTCAAGTTCATGCAATACAGACATCTGGCACATGCTTGAGTTGTACTTGTATTAAACTACTTACAAATCTTATTGGTCCAACTATGGTGTCACGGCCATTACTCTCTCTTCAAAAGGATAATATGATGAAGCGTGAAACGTCATCGTTTATAAATTCTTCAAAATTCTTTAAATTATTTGATATAAGATTTTTAAACGCATTTTGTTTACTTTTTTTATTGAAGTATTAGACGTGACATTTTTATTTATTTAATTTAATATTATTTGTCGTGAAATCGAGTTAAGGTCGAGTTTATTCTGATACTATTTATTACGATCCATTTCCCTCTCTCAAAAAACTAACTTGATAAAATATACAATGTCATTATCTACATACTTTCTTTTTGAAATCTTTCTTCTTAAAGTGTTAGGCATGACAAATGGATTTCACTTCTTCTTATAAAACAGAGGAAAAAAAAATGGCAAGAAAAAGAGGAAAAAAGGGAACGGAGGAAGGATGCTATTTTAATTTTTCTTTCTTATTTAGTTGTTCGTCTCCCCAGTTCTACATTCAAAATTTTCAATATAAAATTTATTAATAATATATCAATCAAGATGTTAATTAGTGATCAATTCAACGTTTATATTTCAATATATATATATATATATATATATATAAGGACTTTAAAAGCTTTTCTCTTAATAGAGTGGTTTTAACAGTTCAAAAATAAAATAAAGCATGTATATTCAAGCTGGCCATGTTAATAATGTCAATAAGTACCTTATAGTAAGATATCTTATATTATTTGAACCGATTAGATAAGATTAAGATATCTTATAATTGAATTCTGATAAGAGTTTAGTAATAAAACAACTAGCCGATTTAGGTAATTGTCTTAAAGTACCTATTACCGAATGTGATTATAAAAAATAATTTTTAATATTAAATTTTAATTTTAAACATAATATTTTTTATGTATAAATCTTTTATAATTAGTGTAATGCTTAATAAAATTCATTAATTGTTATAAATATGCTCTTAAAATTTTAATTCATTTTTGTATAAACTAAATATAATTTATTAATTTAATTTTTATTGATAATATATATAAATAATTTTAAATTTATTTTATTTATGTATTTAATATGTAATATCTAAGACATTAAAAAACAAAAATCAAATAATAATTTAAAATTTTAATTAAGTATTTATAAGATTCAAATAACCAAATTCAGATTCAAGTACTTAGCCAGTGGCGTATCTTGAAAACAAGAAGACGTATTATTGTTAGGCCCGTTACTTGCCACGTCTCCCCATTCAATTTGACAGCCTTTGCTATTCTGAATTGCTTGGTGCCAATTTTTGACAAGCTCTCAAGTGTGAATTGCTAAAATAACAAAAAAGCAGCCTACATAAATCAAAGAAAATCCTTCAGGTCAGCAACGCATCATCTTTCACTGGGTTTAGCCTGCTTTTGCCCGAGTCAAAATAGGCAGATCGCCATGGCAAAGCCTTATCCAAAGCTTGCACATAACTCAAATCTCTCTCTAGGAGCAGCACCATTTTTTCTTCTTCTTTTCTCCTATTCCAATGGAAGCTTTTTACATACCACACCACAGGCTGAATAGTAAAAACTCTTGCTGTGAACTAGAATGGATTGCTTGGATGAAACTGATAAACACTAAATATGCAAACCAACGACCAAAAAGAACTGATAGCATAACAATCACACATTTCCATCCACTGTTGTAAATGAAATTTTATCTTGATATTACAACAAATTTTGAAATTACTTTTGCTTAAATGCCAACCGAATAGAAAGGTCAAAAGAAAACTGAAAATGGAGCTCGACACCATGTTTCAGTAACTACACAATTGCACCTGTGATAGCAGGCAGGCTCTATATATTAATTTCTGTATGACAGTCCCTATATAAAGAAAAAAAGAATCAGGGCTGACCTGTGGCCCTTGAGAAAAATTAGCCACAATTGAGATTCTATATATCCTACAGCAAATTGCTTCCTTTCATTACCATTGGAAGCATAGAGAGGGTTTTATGATCATGAACCCAGAATAAATGCATGTATCTCATCCCAGCTAGAGACTGTATATAAAGTGCCTGAAAGCTTTTTCCAAGTAGAAGAGCCAACTTCAACCACTTCTCTCTGTTTCACCACCAAACCAGAGAACAATGGCACAAAAGAAACGCCAAACTGTTCTCCCAATCTTCTCAGGGAGGGACTTGAACCCATCACGATACCTATGTCTGCTTCAAGCAAGCAGAGTAAGTCACCAACTGAACCTCCAATATAAACCGTCAAGTGCTGGCAATCATTGCCTCTGCTGTTTAATATGTTATTGAATGCTTGAAGCTTTTCCATGGGAGATTCTAACTTCTTAGTGATCTCCCCTGTTGTGATGGACTCTTCACAAGCTAACTCATTGGAGTGCACATTCAGAGCTTTTAGATCCCCTGCTAAGTAAAATAGGATGAGGTAAAAGCATTAAATTTCAAACAATTATTACTTGAGCAACTGATGGTCTTTGTATTGAAGTAATCCTAGGTTCTAACTATTATAGAGAGCATGAAAGCATAATAAACAATCGGCATACTTTGGATATACTTCCTGATAAATGATATTGCATTATATGCTACAACATCTAAAATCCAAGTTTGTCTTCTGATAGAAATTTCTCCAATAATTGGGTGAAGAACAGATCTGGTCATCCTATATGTTATGTCTAGACTCTAGATCTTTTATCTGCATCTTCAAATTTACTATCAAATTGTGTGCGTGTATTTATATAACTAGCACGGCTTGTCTGTGTTCCAGGGATTACCTGATGAAAAAGCTGAACGAATGAGATCCCCACACCAACAATAAGAAAGTATATGTACAGCAGCAGTAGGATTTTCAACTTTCATGATTTTGTTAAAAAACCATTTACAACCATCTTGAAGGATCAGACTTTGGCCAGCCCTTTTTATATCCTCTTGATTTAAACCCTTAAGTACTCCTGACTGCACCACTCTTGAATTTGCCTTCTTCTCAAAATCTGCAAATTGCTGTAGGGCTTCACAGAGACCTTCATAACTGAAACTTTTCACTGCACAAGTAGGGGAATGAAAGGTGCATTACTTTTAGTAATATTTCCTCTCAATAGCATTAAGTCATTACCAGTTACTGCCACAAACATTTTTACTAACAGGGCATAAAAATCAAGAAGACTCCCAATCATTTATCAAACCTGTCTCAGTTGGTGTGATGCTTTCTACACACTGTTCAAACTCTTCAGTATACTGGGTAGAAAGAGCATCCCATGTGCTCCTCAAATCAGCTAATGACATCTGAGCAAGTTGGGTTTCAGGTCCATCAGGTTCAGCCTTCTGCATAGTTATAATAGCAAGCTCTGCTAAAATAGCAGAGGAATCAAAAGCAGTGCATGTCAAGTCAAAGTCACAAAATATGGTGAGTTGGCCACCCGCAGCAGGGTCTAG